CAGGAGAGCAGCTGGCCGAAGTGCTTCTTTCACGGAAGCTCGGCAACCGGCCTGTGACCTTGCTAGGGTTCAGTCTGGGAGCACGTGTCATTCACAAGTGCCTACAGGCGATGGCGAAACGCAAGGGCTGCGAAGGAATCGTCGAAGATGTCGTTCTACTTGGTGCTCCCGTGAACAGATCCGTAAACGATTGGAAGACGATCTTGCCGGTCGTCAGCGGACGGATTATCAACGGATATTCAAAGTGAGCTAATGCTCAATAGCTGTTAATCGATATTAATGACTGTCGTCAATTGTGTTGTTATGTAGAAGCGATTGGCTGCTGAAGTTCCTCTACCGTACCATGAATATACAACCTTGGATCGCTGGAATAGGACCCGTCGAAAACGTCAGTAACAAAGTGTCCAATATTGACCTGACGGACATTGTAAACAAGCTTATAGCCACTGACGGCGGGTAGCCTCTATCTGTTTTCTTTGTGTTAGGTCAGAGGGCACCTCGATTATCAACATAAGTTACGTGAAGTGCTTGAAGCGATTGAAATCCCGGTTTTGCCGTTCACTGCCGCCATCGTTCCCGTACTCCCGCTGGAGAATGGTCCTGCATCTGACGACAGTACTGCATCCTCCCGGTCACATTCCCAGGCAACGTAGGTCTACTTTTATATATTTCTTGCGTTTTTAGACGATCAGTTGTATGCTTACGGTGAGGTGCTGTATCGCGTTTTTAAACAGGTATTATTCTGATATATCCGCAACTGCACTGTAAGGAATTGCCGTTTGCTATGCAAGTTTTAAGCCTATTGTCCATCATAAAATTAGCCTGTTAAAATTTGTTTTCTGTTTGCAATAGTAGCAACGTCTGCAGAAAAGTTATTATGGTACGGCGTTTTCCATTTTTGGCCCGTTGGCTGGAATTGTATTTAATTTATTAATCTATGATTATTGAAAGTTTTTCTTTTTCATTTAAATTTGCGATTTGCGTTGGTTTCCACGTTGTACCGATTTGTCACTCATGTTTATGTTGTTGCATTCGACTTTCATGAGCCAGCTCGTCGTAGCTGGCCTTATCAGTCATCTCCTGGAGATTCTGCCGGCGTAGTAGATAAACGCATCCACAGTGAGTTTCTACGATCGATTTCGTTGGATGCTGTCGGTCGTGGATCAGCAAATTAGCTGCATTTAATTATTCGCTTGTTTGGCAAGTTAATCTCTCCGTAAACTAGATTTTTACTCCCCATGTCGCCTAAGGGCTTATAAATTGCCTGTTTGAACAGGATCCCTAAAGAAATTCTATTCTTTAGAATTAAAATATGTTCGGAAATATCAGAACAAATAAATAGCATAAAATCGAAAAGAACCAGAACAAATAAAGTTATGAAATAAAAGCCAAAGAAAGTTTCAAAGACCAAACGACAGTCGCCCGGCCTTCGAGAAAATCGGAAAGTTTTTAAGCCCAAAAAATTGTATTCCAGAATCATAAGGTCAAATTGATAATTGAACTGTCAATTATGACCAAAATTATGCATTATGTCTTTAACGAACTGTTTCTCTTAATATGGTACAGCTTCGTTTTTGTATTGTAACTTGATAACTTGAACCGATGTAAGGTATCAAGAGAAACAGTTGGTGAGTGACAAATTTTGTACTGTCCTACTGGGAGGTTCGGTTGAAAAATGAGTCCAACCAAGTGGAGAAATAATCGTAATTTCTTTCATTCTTCAGTGTTCCCTCTAAACAAAAGAAAACGACCTTTAAATACTACAGATAATGAGCCCGGAAGATGTTTGATAATTGATATCTTAATAGAGATAATACATTTTCCTGTTGGCACCCTTCCGCGGTATGATGATGCTGCTCAAACTTGGTATTTTGCCACCATTCCTCTGAATGGTCGATGACACTTATTAATGTTGAATGAGTTGTGCATTACTTGACATACTTCGGCACAAAAATATTTTGATGTTTATGCAGCAGCCAATGCGCAGCACCGGCACCTGAAACATTTTTCGTAATGGGCATAAGATGATTCTAGTGAACAAATTGATACGAGATACATAGCACTGCAGACGCTCAAATACTATGGAGCCGTGGCCTGTTTAAATGTCCCCTAGGTACAGTATGCCATGAAATCTAGTCGTTGAGTCTTATTAATACAGTTGTCATGCAGCAGCATTACAAACTTCCAAGCAACCTATATGATACCTACTCTGTCAAATTTCATGCATCTTTAAGCTTGAGAATGTGTTGGTATCATTTTGTTTTCCTAATAAAATAGTTTCACAGCACGGAATTTTCTGCTCTTATTTTATTCAAGCAAGACTTTGCTGTCTATTGCTAGCCGCCTGTTTTAGGTTTCTTCTTTTCCGGGTTCGTGGCCATGTGGGAGAGGTTATTGTGCCCCTTTCGAAGATGCAATCCCTTACTTTGGTCATTTCCTGTTTTCCACGGCGTGTGTTGGATTTATAGATAACTCCATGGCGAATCATAAAAATCATTTTGATAATGTGTGTTGATACATATAGTGACTGGATTTGTAATCACTGCGAGCTCTGACACTCGAGTAATCTAAAGCACTTAAATTGTGCTAGATTATGTATGAATAACTGGATTTTCAGATAAACCTTAAACCGGGTACCTGAGGACTGTTTGTTTCATCTTTTTCAAGCTTATTCAGATTTATCAGCTTGTACATATCAGTTGAGGATGAAGAATAAATCCATAAAAAGGCAAACAAGTATCTTTGATATTATTGTAAGAGTGAAAAGACTAAAGTGATAATGCACAGGACACGCTGCAAGATGAAACGGTCATTGCTGGACCGGAATGATGTTAAATTGGG